GCAGCGCTCGGCCGGCTGTCATTTTCTCTCTGATTCCTTTCATCCCTGCTGGGCACTGCTCTGTGTCCCAGCGGGGATGAAAGGAATCACGGCCGCGCCGACAAAACGGCAGGAAAATGTCACTTTTGGCATTTAGCCGAAAGTGCCATTTTCGGCCGGCGCCCCCTCTTCACTTTTCGCCCGGGGCCCGCACCCCTGCTGCCCCCCCGGTTGTTACGCCACTGTAGGTTATGGCACCCCAAAGTGGCTGTGCAAACAGTTTTTCCTAGTGGGAGACGGAACGCATGTTGCCAAATTTGCGACATGCACTACTTTTACGTTCAGGGACCCAATGGAGATGCTCGCCAAACGCGGGAAACAAAGTCCTGATAACCCGCAGGAGCACAGTCCTGCTATGCCGTGGTGTGAACGGAGCCTTTTAGTTTTGGATAGAGTTACCAGTTCAGATACCAGTGCCGATACTTGGCATTTTCATGAGAACTACCAGGGTTGGGACCTGGCTCTGGTGCTCCACCACTGTCCTGAAATCATTAGTCTGTATTGTTTTAGAAAAACTGTCACATGACAATAAACAAAAATGTATCAGTAATAGTATCTGTGAGTACTAGGACAAGTATCAGTACTTGCAAAAATGGTATCAGTGCATCACATATATATATTTATAAAAACAAAATCACCTTACAAATGACAGCTGACTCCTAACTTTTGAATTTTTCTCAAGTCTAGTCTCTGAGCTCGTAAAGTATCTGTACATGTACTTGTACCTAGTACTGTACTTGGTATTGGTGCATCCCTAGTTATAACCATCCCTTCCTAAACTAAAAAAAAAAGTTTTGGCTACCTTAATACCACCCAAGATTTATAACACTGGAGAGAGTGTTGACAGCACAGGCTATGTCTGTTCACACCAGGGGACTATGGGATGAGATGGACATCGTTGCCCAGTGCACTCCAATCACAGAGACAAGGCAATGTGCCTTCAATAAAATTAAAATGCATAAAGTTTAGTGCAATAAAAGTGCCACTAAGCCCAAATACACACACAAAAAAAGGTTTAGAATACGTGCCTTTATTGTTATCTGTCGCCCTTCCAATGGCAGCTTCTGACAGCACATCGTTCAAAATCAATTTAAAATCTGCCCATCTGCAACCTCTTTTACGAGGATGGCTTCTTTTACTCTACATGGTCCCACTGTAGGCAGGAACCCCCCCCCTTTGCTAAGTCTTAGTATTGTATACACAGGATGGGCAACTCCAGCCCTCCAGCTGTTGTGGAACTACAAGTCCCATGAGGCATTGCAAGACTAACCATTACAGGCATGACTCCTAGAGGCAGAGCCATGTTGGGATTTTATAGTTAAAGCACATGTGGAGTGACGGAGTTCTCCACCCCTGGTGTACAGTAATACATCCTGACAGATTCAGTGCCAGGATGTAAAAGAACAAAGAAAGCTCCCGTTCATAAAATCTTTGCCCACATAGCACTGTGCTAGATGCTGGTCCTTGGTGCCAGTTACTTGTTGGTTGGATGAACCGGAAAATAAAAATTTGGGGACACATGGGCAGTTTATTCAGCCGATGCAATGTCATCTGGGATTGGTAGTTTGATCGGAGCGGTGCAAATTACCACGATTTACATGCACTGCTCGCATTCACAGGCGTGAAGGGAAGGAGGCGTCTGTTGGGGAAACGCAGAGACAGATTATATTGCACATAAAAACAGTATGTGAAAGTTTTTGGCATCAGTTTTATTTATGTGAACACAACTGTATGGTAGACTGTAATATTGATTCAACAATTATAATTTAGTGATACCTCGCGGTGTGCGCTGAAAGTAAGTACGACATGCAGTACTTTTTTTCACCTCAGCCTCAGCGTGTTGCCATGCAATACACCACATCACTATGCGCTACTGTGAACTGAACTGAATGAAATGTCACTTTGTGACGTAAAGTGCAAACAAAAAACAAAGAAAGAAGAGAGGAAAAAGGTTACACTGCGATGCACTGTTTACAGCACATAGGCACTGCTTCCTTCACTGTGCACACCCCCGACTGCTGGCATGAACAAAACCTACAGCTGGCCATATGCCAGTAGAATGTCGTTCAAATAATTTGTTTTAGGAATGTACGTACGGTTTTCTAATAGTTGATGGAATCAAATCGGCGATTGATTTTGACCGTAGTGACAAAAAAAAGGAGAGATGCTTGTCAAGGGATGCAAGCATCCCGGGACAAACATCTATCTTGATCCGCAAATAGTTGTACCAAGTAGAATTACATGCGGGCAGCCACAGACAGGTGTGGGCGCTGTCACCTGGTCATTAACTTGAATGGGCACAGCGGCCACATCTGTACAGACACATCTGGGATTCCTGCTGCAAGAAACTGCAGGTTCTTTCTGCAGGAATCCCCAGACGCCCAAGTGCATGAGGTCTAACAGTGAATGTGATTGTTATGCCTCAAACCCGATTCCAAAATTGAATTTTAAAGCAGAACTCCAGGAATTTTTGTATTAACCCTTGCAGTGGGGCTACTACCGCACTGCAAGCGGTAAGTGCTTGTTTGTGTCTAGGTGCTAAAATAACAAAAATATACATACCCTAAGCTCAGACCTGGCCACCTGTCATGGCGCTCCCTCCAGCCTGTCTCCCCCCTCTGCTGCAGATTGGAATCTTCCTCAGTGTCCACACGTCTATGCACAGTGTATAGACATGATGATGGGCAGCTTAAGGGAGATTCACCTTCTCTAATTCTCCTGATCACCAATGTCAACAGGAATGATAGTTAGGATTAATCCAAATTTGAGGTACAGATGGCAAACAACAAAGTACCTACATTTTTCAGTTTTCAGTGCTGTGATAGTTTGACTACCTACTACTCGGTCATGCAACACGGTACCCTAATGAATTTTAAGCCATTGGTTTCAGACAGATAGAGCTTTCTTTTGGTGGTATTAATTAACCACTGTTTTTTTTGTTTTATTTAATATTATTTTTTACTATCTAAAGGAAAAAGACTGGAAATTTGACAAAGAAACATGTTTCCCTTACTTTCTGTTATAAAACATGTTAAATATAAATGCTGTGACAGTGCGACCAATCCCAAAATGACCCCTTTTTGGAAACAGACATCTTCTAATTTTTGCCCCAATTTTTGGCAAATGAAGAAACTGTTATTGTGGTAGTTAAAACATGGAGCTTGGTGATGGTGCACTAGATACAGCGCATCTTTAACCACCTCCAGTCTGCCGATCGTAGGAAAATAACTGGCCGGGAGCCTTCTAGATGCGGGTTTTGGCGTCTTAAAACGTCCTTTCTGCCCATGCCCGCTCGTGCGTGCTGCCTGGTTTGGTGTCTTTTTACCCGACGTGACCCCATCTTTTATATGAGCAAAACAAATGACAAACGCACTCAACAATTTGTCACCAGCTTTACAGTAAGGTGCACACGAAATGGGCTTTGAACAGTAAACAGTAGAAAGGTATCATGGCACACTCACAAGCCAGCATGTAAAAAAACTTGTCTCACCACTAAGGTTAATAACAGAGGTTTGGATACACGTCTTCTGCAGAAAATGTGAAAGCCGCTTTCACATTTTCTGCAGAAGACGTGTATCCAAACCTCTGTTATTAACCTTAGTGGTGAAACAAGTTTTTTTACATGCTGGCTTGTGAGTGTGCCATGATACCTTTCTAATGTTTGCCCATCTTTTATATGTTAGCAAAAAATTGGGTAATAATAAGTGTTTCATAACATAATAAAGGGAAAACAGTTTATTTTGATTTTCTGTACTTTTTTTTAATTATATAGTAATAAATAAAAAACCCCAGTGGTGATCAAATACCACCAAAAGAAAGCTCAATCTGTCCCCAAAAAATGGTATAAGATTAATTTCAGTACATTGTTGCATGA